ATCTCAGTAAGGTCAAAATCAGTTCAACATTACGTTGGGCAAGTCCCCAAATTTCAGGAAAAGTTAAAAAAAACCCAATTTAAACGGTAAAATTTAATTACCTTAAATTGCGTTTTTTTAACTTATTCTCCTGAAATTTGGGGACTTGTCCAACGTAATGTTGAACTGATTTTGACCTTACTGAGATAATGTGGAGGCAAATCTAGGGGAAATTGGCTTATTTCGCGGGAAAATTGAATGACCTTTGAATTGACGTATTTGGGGGTCCGAACCCCCCCTTAAAATTAGTTCGAAGTGATTTCTGCAATTTTTACAAAAAAGCGAACACAATTTAGTAAATTCTCCGTTTTATTTTTTTCTTTACGATAATTTGAACCGGAGTTGTGATTTTTTGAAAATAGGTCAAATTTGACCTTTGACCCTATCATAACTCGGTCAAAAATTGAGATATTGATCTGCGGTTTGCACCAAAATTCTTAGTTTTTTATGGTCTTTCGAATGAGGTATCACAAGATAGGGGTTGCCATTTGAAAAAAAAAAGTTGGGGGCCCCCGCCCCCTCCCTTAGGGGGGACCAACATTTTGACTCCCTCAAAAGATGGTCTCCTTTGAGATAGGAACAATCCCAAAGTTTCATTTTTCTATCTCGAACCGTTCAAAAGTTAGCCGACCGTCCTGGAACTTCTGGCCCACCCTGTATTCAGTAGTATGTGTACTTTCAGAAAATCAACGGTTCATCTGCCCGATGTTGCCTGTTCGGACGGAAATAATGATTTTACAGGATAATTTGGCCATTTTTCAGGTATTTTTGGGCTTTTGTTCGACTTTGATTCAAAGTTCACAAATTAACCTTCAATTTTCAAGACATTTGGCACTGACACAAATAGATAATACTAAAACTGGTGTAAAGAAATGGTAAAATTCATTTTTAAGTATCACATGATGCCAGCTCGCTCTAAAAAATAGCACATTTCTGTAATATTTGTATCCATGCATATGTATGCATATATGAGGACTTATCTGTAACAATAGCGGATGTCGAGTTTTCACATTGTGAGAAAATCGCGTTTGAAGTTTTTGAAGCTTTGTACTTTTCCACCCGTAGAACCGAGAGGATTTTCATAAAGATTTTCATGAAGAGCAACTCTTCCGGTAAAAAACACACGTTTTACGATCTATGTAAGTGAAAAATTGAAGGAGTAACAGCGATTTGAAAAAGATGTGACATCCACTATTTTTACTGCAAACACTTTTTTAGGCATGAAACAAAGTCTTCAGGAAGGGTTAGGCTGGTGAAACGATTGAAATGACCTAAAAGTAAGTCAATGCTGAGTCATTTAACAAAATTGATACAGAAACTAAACCGTTTGTAACTATAACAACAAAAACAAGTAACAAATTCTAAATTCAGTTAAAAATTCAACAATTCTGGCGAGACAGTCCCGATTCGTACAATTTGAGTGTCAGCTACAGCCCATGGCCGGTGGGCAGGCAGTTATTGCAAGTAGGTTCAAATCTCAACAGAGTCCTGCTGCGCCGGCCGGGAAAAACAGTGGATTCTCACATCCGCTGTCTTTACAAATAACATGGTTTTCAGTTCATATCTCGCCGAAAAATTGCGCTGGAAGTCTGAAACTTTGCACAGGCATTCTTGGAGGCTCTAGATTTCGAAAAAAGCGATTGCACTAAAAATGGCGGATGTCAGCGACCACTATTGTTACATATATGTCCTCATATATGAACTAATTCCGATTACATGAACCTAGTTTCCAAAAAATGTTGATATGAATATATTAAAACTCATGTAAAAAAGGGGAAATTTGAAATTGAAGTAGCTCAGTGTTGCCAAATTTCATGAAAACTTCCATTTTCGGAAGGCTCGTTTTTACGTTGGTACTTGAATAATGGTAAAATTCTTACAAATGATCATGATTTCTATCCAAACGGGGGGCTACGGGCAGCTGAACTTTTAGTATTTTGAAAGTGCACATACCACTGAAAATGTCCACATTGAAATATTTCCAATAGCTGTCAATAGTTTTTTTTGCCACATCATGAAACTTCAAAAGAACATAAAAACAAGCCTTGCGAAAATGGAAGTTTTCATGAAATTTGGCAACACTGAGCTACTTCAATTTCAAATTTCCCCTTTTTTACATGCGATTCAATATATTCATATCAATATTTTGGAAATATTTTCAATATATATTTATCAATATTTTAAATTTATCAATATTTGGAAACTAGGTTCATGTAATCGGAATTAGTTCATACATATGCATGGATACAAATATTACAGAAATGTGCTATTTTTTAGAGCGAGCTGGCATCATGTTATACTTAAAAATGAATTTTACCATTTCTTTACAGCATTTTTAGTATTATCTATTTGTGTCAGTTCCAAATGTCTTGAAAATTGAAGGTTAATTTGTGAACTTTGAATCAAAGTCGAACAAAAGCCCAAAAATACCTGAAAAATGGCCAAATTTTCCTATAAAATCATTATTTCCGTCCGAACAGGCAACATCGGGCAGATGAACCGTTGATTTTCTGAAAGTACACATACTACTGAATATATCCACGTGCACAAAAGTTCGGTGTTTGACGGTGCTTTTTTTTGCCACTCCATGAAAGTGGAAAAAAGGGTTAAAAATGAGCAGTATTTCAAAATGCAATATTCGCCACCAAAAAAAGGATTTAAAAATTGGAAAAATCAAAAATAAATAGTGCTTACCAGTAGGAATGAAGTTACCAGGAAGTAAAACGTAGACGTAATGAGAAATAAAATTAGAATGTTTAAATTAGCTTGTATTTCAATTAAAAAAAAAAAAAAAAAAAAAATCATTTTAAGTTCTTTAAGGTTTAAAAACCTGTCATGAAAAATAACGAAAAATGGCAACACAGCAACGTTGAACTAGTTTCTCTCTCGGTAAATTGATGTGTTTTGAAAATAAGCACTTGTTAATTTTTTTTGGTGCTAACTTGAGCTAGATATCCTATTTTTTTCTGGGAGATATCAAGCTGAAAGGATTTTATCCGATTTCCCCTCAAAACGGGGCCAAAAAACCCCCTCAAAATGTTCTCCTCAAAAATTTCTGTTTGTCGCAAGATAGTACGTACCAAGAAGAGCAACTCACCAAATTTTTATGAAATTTCAACAATTTTTAACGGAGATATCGACTTTTGACACTCGTTCCCTAGTAATCAACGCACTGTGTGCCGCGGCATGTGGTTATTGCATTCTGTTACCGACCACAACAATACTTCAAATTACCAGATTTCGGCGGAGCCACAACCCCCCCCCCCCCCCCC